TACTAAAATTATTAATAGAATGTGAATCAATAACAGTATCAGCTGGGAGATGTGTGCAAGAAGCAAGTTTGCTACGTTACACAAGCTCTCTCAGCTTTTTTTTAGCTTAATAAAGAAACAACATTGACAAAATGTCAAGAAAGGAAATATTCTTCTCATTATTAATTTCACTTTACCCTTCAAATTTCTCTCTTTCATCGGACTAAGATTAGCTTAATTGCTGTGTTAGCTCGTTGTAAGCCACACATCATTTAAACTCAACAGAAACAAAATAAAAACTGTCTTGGTTAGTCTTTCCATTGCTCCAGCAATCACCAACCCGGGTTTGGTCGAAATAAACCATTAATTCACTGAGTTAGATGTGAAAATATTCTAGCTCCCTGCTGTCTCTTTGGTGCCCGCCTCCCTCTCGCTCCTCCTATCCCCGCCTGAACCTGCTGTGGCTTTGTCGTCCCTGGAGTCAGAGTCCTGGTCGGAGCCGCCGTAAATCATCTCTGTACTGTATTCCCTGTTATTAGCCTGGCCTCTGTCGGTCTCTGAAGCTTTGTTTGGTCCTGGTCCGGTTGTTTTCATTGGGAGGCTCCTGAACCCAGTTCCGTTGCCTGCTCGGCTAGGTCTGGTTCTGGTGCCCATTGCAGGTCTACCTCATCCCAAGGCCTGAAAACATTTTCCTTCTGGTGGTCCAAAGCTGCTGTGCCAGAGATATAAACACCCACACCCTGCTGAAACCCAGAGTCAGCAAATACTAGACAAACTGAGCTAACTAGCTAACTAGCTAACAGCACCTACTGTTATTTAGCAATTAGCAATTAGCACCTACTCTGGTGATATGCTGCCCCCTATTTGTTTGGAATATATTAACAGGTGGTCAAAACCTTGCAGTTCTTCAATACCCTTTTAAACTGAGTACCCACTGGGAACGATGGATGTGCACAAACATTTTAAGTTGCAGTGGCTCTGTTCAAAACATTCGGAGGATTCTCTGAAAATGGGACAGGCGTCTTCATCCCACAATGACATAATCAGGAGTTTATTCAAGGGACCCAACCTCTGAAATCTGTCTCTATGATTTCTGCTAGGTCATAACAAACACACTCATCCTCTCAACTTCAGCGAGCGTCACCTCAAATTAATTAATCCTAAAAAAATGAGCAGTGGATGAGGAACAAAGTACATAAGAGCAAACATGATGTGATACACTGCCGATGTATTAATGATAAAATGGTGCATGAAGCATCTTTAATTTCTGGTGACGCAGATGTGGGAGAAAGGATATTAATGTGTGTCTGTGTGCTTTCATGTGTGTGTGTATGTGTCATGTCAACTCAGCCCAGCACCTCTCCATCTCCTCGGGGGGTTTGACTTTGGCTGCTCCTAATTTCAGACATCAGCTGTCACCTCCAACGCACGCACACACACACTTTACACCTCACTGTCACAAGTGTGTTGTGATGTTGTGACAAAGTTGGCTGCAGCCAATTGTGTGTGTGTGTGTGTGTGTGTGTGTGTGCGTGTTGTCTTCTTGCTTTCCTCTTTAACTATAAATCATGACATTTAGCTGTAAATAAGGCAGCGGCTCTGCAATACACACCCTATGTCTTACACACACACACACACATTTCTTGCATGCAGAGGCGCAGATGGCTTGCTCTCACCCCGAGGCTGCCATTAGCAACATGAACAGTTTGGTTGACCGTTGTAGCTCTGAACACACACTCACACACACACACACAGGCAGCTTCTGAAGCAGGATGAAGACCCCACATGCTGGTGTAATGAAGATTACAAACTACACTTCTTAAACACACACCAACACTGATGCTGTTGTTTTGCTTTTTTAACATTATGTATGCCAGACATGCTGTACACAATAAAACACACACAGCGAGGCCCCGTTTAGACAGAGAAACACGGATGCACAGAGAGGGTGTTGGTGGGGATCTAGGTGGGTTTACTGGGTGATCTGCACTGTGTCCCCTCTGTTAAACTGTTTTCCAACTTTTCCATTTTACCTTGCAACAAAAAACACACCCATGTTGCACCGTTGCCCCACCCTGCCCTAATAATGAGATGCATTTTAGGAGAATTAAAAAGTGTTTCCCCTGGCAACAAAATGCCTGAGATGGAATTGTGATATTGTCAGATGTATGGCTTGTACTGCACTTCTATTCTCTGTTGTAATACTGTAAGCCTGTTTTGTATCAGTTTTAATTTGTTCTGCTGTCTGCTTGACCAGCACTCCCTTGAAAAAGAGATTTTTTATCTCAATGGGAATAAAGGTTCAATAATTATGAAGACAATAATTAATAATTTCCTCAACTAATTGATTTGATTTAAAAATCTCTTGAACTGTTTCCAGTATCAATGTGCATCCAAATGAAATGATCATTATCATTAAGAAAACTCTCTGAAACTTGGGATGCTCCAGT